TTCTAAAAATAGCAATTTTCAAAAAGTATTAGGACAAGTTTCTCAAAAAGCATAACTGTAACACACAACATAGTCATATTTCATTGTACCATAGGACATTAGCTTCGTGATTGTACATAATAAACTAATGAACATTGCGATGCGATTTATGACCAATTTTGTCAAAAATTATGACTAGGCTTCTACCTTAACGCTGTCTGTTCAAAGTTTAAATGCAATATGACGTGAAGAATTACCATGCATGGTATGGGGTGCCGTTTGTGCATTTATTTATATAGCGATTTGTTTTATAGATGTAAGCTTATTATATGTAAACAATTCTCTGATTTTTCAATAATGATATTTCAAATCAATTAGATAGAAGTCAAGAGTTAACATGTTTGTTTTATTTATAAATACTAAGATTTATACTATTATATATATTTAATATCTTTATGTACATTTTATTATTTATAAATAATTGTACATTCATTAATCAAATGTTATTTAATTATGATTTGAGATATGTACAAATATGTAAAAATTATGACGGTCAAGTTCAACTCTAAAGAAAATAATCTTTGTTGCAGCATTTATTTACAAGCCAAGGATCAACATATTATAAACTCATAGTTGCTGTTGACATAGAAAGTCAGGAAGTAAGCAAATAACACCGAATAAACGGCAAGGTAAATACTATGTCAAATTATAGTAAAAATGTACTGCGTGGGTGACTCGACCTGGCGAGGGGAAGACATGCAGGTAGTGATTAGGTGCAGTATTTCTGATTTATCCAATGTTTGTATTGTTAATGATGAAATGCGTCAGGAACATTATCATTCTCGTTGTATATTATGTCAGAGAAAAACTACTCAAATTCACAGAGAAGTAGGCTAAAAAACTAAAAAATGATAAGAGCAAACAAACCACACCTTTCGGGGGACAGCTTATGCCAGCATTGCAGATAAGAATGTTAAGAGAGCATTCTTTCATTTTGAAGTTATTTATGAAGTCCATCGTAGACTTTAACGAGCTGAGGTCCAAGTTCATATACGCAAGCTGTGAAAGAATATACACAAATGTTACACGTGTCGACACTGTTTAGTGTCAATGTGTATGCAGTGCGCAAAATCAAGTAATGGCAAACACTTACCAATGAGTTGGAACATTTAGCAATGAATGGAGACACTGAGCAATGAATAAGAACACTTGGCAAAAAGTGGGGCACTTAGCGATGAATGGTAACAGTCAGCAATGTATGGGAATACTTAGCAATGAATGGGAACACTTAGCAATGAATGGGAACACTTAGCGATGAATGGTAACAGTTAGCAATGTATGGGAATACTTAGCAATGAATGGGAACACTTAGCAATGTATGGGAACACTTAGCGATGAATGGTAACAGTTAGCAATGTATGGGAATACTTAGCAATGAATGGGAACACTTAGCAATGAATGGGAACACTTAGCAATGGATGGGAACACTTAGCAATGAATGGGAACACTTAGCAATGAATGGGAACACTTAGCAATGAATGGGAACACTTAGCAATGAATGGGAACACTTAGCAATGGATGGGCACACTTAGCAATGGATGGGAACACTTAGCAATGAATGGGAACACTTAGCAATGAATGGGAACACTTAGCAATGAATGGGAACACTTAGCAATGAATGGGAACACTTAGCAATGGATAAGAACACTTAGCAATGAATGGGAACACTTAGCAATGGATAAGAACACTTTGCAATGAATGGGAACACTTAGCAATGAATGGGAACACTTAGCAATGGATAAGAACACTTAGCAATGAATGGGCACACTTAGCACTGAATGGGAACACAGTCGACAGTCGACTAACATTAACAAAATAAAATATTTAAAAAAATTAAATTAAAGCGAATTCCATATTCGAGATTTGAAAAGCAACAGTCACATTCACTGTTTTATTGCAGATGTAAAACTGGTTTTATATTTGGGCTTTATAATTAAACGCAAAATGTAATTTAATTAATTTGCATAAAATCACGGCAATCCTATGCAGAAGTATTATATGCACATTGCGAATATATAATCACACAACCCACATTATAATTCAAAAATACGCAAACCGAAATACTGATAAATGTTTCACACAATAATTTCAGTTAAGATCTCCAGTATAGAAGTGTGAGTTCTAAATATCGACAAGAAACAAAACAAAACAAGTTGATTAAAATAATATTTGTTTGGTCTAAAATTAATTCGCAATTTGTACAATGAGAAGTAATACTGGTTATATTCTTTACTAGTATCCGCAAGCGTTATGTGATTGCGATTAATTAAGTATTTCAGTCAAAGGTCATTACT